AAAAAAAAAAAAAAAAAAAACGACAGATATATCCGACTCAATCTCAATCTTTTTTACCAAACAACGCGAATTTCCAGAAACATATAGATAACGAGTTTACCATTTTTAAGAATAAACCAACTCTACGTTACAGTCTCCTTTCGCCCACTCTCGAACGTTAACTCGTCCATTCGGAGATACAACATCACATACATCGAAACGTGTCACACTCTGTAACTCATAATCATCAGGAAACACGTCGAATCACAAAACAACGATTGCTTCTACAAACTCAGTTACGCTTTTTAATTAAGTGACCATCCATCGATATTTCGACGGAGACACTGCAGAGTGGACGAGAAACGTTTCCCTGTCGTGGCTGATCGAGCAAAACGAGCACGGCGTCCATGGTGCGCACCATATTTAATCGTGCATCCGCGGTGACTGAGGTGAGCATTTAATCAGCCAGTTAGCTTAAGTGGCCATTGTTCCAACGCGCGCACTATCCGCTCGTTCAGCCCGCATTATAATGCGCTAGACACACCGATAGACGACAGACATGCGTGAGAGGTGAATCATTCCGCGTGTATTTTCGAAACGACCAGCAAACCATCGTCAACGAACATGCCCGGTGCAAGCATCGTCGCTCGAACCAACGTCTCGTCTGGTTTCTTCTGTTTGCGCGCGTCCGCCCGATGTTCTTAGCCTTCTCGCATTCGTGGAAGACGAATACAGTTTCTGACGAAAGTATTCGAATAGTTGTATAGTAACTTGTATAGTATCGTAATGTCTATTGTAACGTGTCATACGACGAGTCTTATACGGAACATTATATGGAAGAACGTTAACATTGTAACGAGACTCGAACTGTCGCGATTATATTCGTAAGATTGGAAAGAAATTTGAAAATGAACATAGAAACTACAAGATGCATAGTGCAAGAGATCATAAAAATATCGAACTGCTGAGAGAGAGAGAGAGAGAGAGAGAAAGTCGAAATTTTATTTTTCTGCGACTAAGTATAATATCGCGGAAAAGTGAATGTGAAAAATTGACGATCAGAAAAATGATTACCGTATTACGATAAATTCGTTGAATGTTCTTTAAGCTTTTTATAATACGACGTAAAACGATACTGAGAAGATTCTATTGTGAAAAGCTCCGCTTGCATAGTAAACACCGTGAGTCACATGCGTCCCACGTGATACGCTGTTTTCTTACGAATCGTCGACATTCGCGTACGCTTTTCGATAAACGTCAATATTTTCATGAAAAAGAAAAAACTTATGTTCAAAGAAAAGAAAATATCGGAAGAAAAATAAGGAGATTGGAAAGTTGGAGGAATTCTTTTTGAAACGTTTCGCGGTTCAAGTGTGCCGCTTAAACATCGTGAATATCAGACATTGTGGTCACAGTATGCTTGCAAAGCACACCAAGGTTTAGATTACCATTTCCTATAAACTTTGCTGCGTTTTGTAATACTGAGACACTTCGTGACACATAGAGGAATACTGAAACGTCGGTTCAGCGGTTGCACGACGGGTTCGCCAGTGGAACAATAGAAGCAAAGATGTAAAGATTAGAAATCTACTTTTGTGTTAACCGTATTAAATAACTGAATTGGTTGCGATCAACATTTCTAGATAGATAAAAATTCGAAAAATATTTAACAGTTGACTTGGTCGTAAGAAAATTCCGAGGAAATTGTTAAATGATAAATAACTTGTATAAAATCGTGTTTCAAAGATAGACTGAACGCATTCGCTACTAAAAAGAATAAAAAATTATTAAACTTATTTTAACGCGCTATCTGTTGCTTTTTTGTTTCTTTCAATTTAAGTCTCACTTTCTCGAAGTGCGCAGAACCAAAAACGCAATAATTGCGCCACGCAACGTTATTTATAGATAGCGAATAAATTGCATAATTAGATAATTGAAGCGGCGCAATGTATGCATCGATAGCGACGAAAATATTCCAAAGTCGTCGCAGAAACAACAAGAAATTATACGAAATAATAAAATTCTTCCTTAACGTCTAGTTGTAGCTAAAATTACGACTTACGCGTGAATTTATATATTGTAGTAACTTCATGCTACGCTGCAGGGTTGGAATAAAACGATGACTTCACGATTGTTTCTTTATCATTGATGATTTGATTTTTTAGAGGAATCTGGTTGTAATATAGACGCAATATCATTACATACGTTTGCAACGAACATGTGAATAATAAAGTGTATGCAAGAGCTACTTGCATTTCTATTCAGGACATTTCTGTTTCATATTCAGAACGTAGAATGCTCTATTATATCAAAGGGTTCTAATGAAACGCTATTGTCTGCAATTTGAACGAACACGTGTTCTAAGAAATAATTCGATCGATCACGTATGTACGTACGTATCTCTGTCGTTAATATAACCAAGAATAGGCAATCTGTTGCTATAGAAAAATCAGCATCACGGGGCTAATTTTACCACGAAGGCTCCTTCGAGAACTAAGGATACCACGCTAAAACGTTCTAAATTATATAGCAACTTATGATCGTAATTTTTCATTCTTTCACGTCGCTAATAATCCATGCTAATTGATGCAAATGATGACTATAAATAATGAAAAATAAAAATAAAAAGGAATGTCTACAAATTTACTAACAACTGGAAAATTACGAATCCTTTCTTCGGTATTGAAACTTGGCGTATGTGTTTGAAATTCACGATACGTGCATCGCCAAACAAAATATAGAAAATCATCCTTGTACAATACTTTTCTGCAACAAAGCCTCCTCTATCTGATCCTACAAAATGAAATTCCGTCGTTTCCTGCTGAATAATCGGGGGCAACATCGACGAGACAAATCTGTTGCACGATCAAACATTGAATAATTCAACTGGAGTTTATCCTTGGTCGGTGTCTATGACGAGCGCGTTATGTCACGCGAAAATATATTGCGCGGCCGGACATACTAATACAAGAATCGTCATTACGTAAGTATGAATAGCCACGTTTTATTGTCTGGTTTTCGAATTTCGAGCAAACCGTGTCGCGCGTCCACCGTGGAATCGAACTTTCACGTCGAGTATCCTCTCGAGCTAAACACAATGCGCTCATTCAGCAAACATTTTACAGCGTAATTATAGATTATCGTGCTGTTTCCGATATCGATCTCTTTCAATGTTTTTACGCTCTCGTTTAAATATCATTTTCAATGTTCCAAGAACAATTAGTTTTCACTTTCAAGTAAAAAAATGGGGACAGTATGAATATGGCACTGATTGATCGAGTTATAGAATCAGACGTCGTAAAAAAGTCTCCGTACACTTTGCGCAGGGCTACTTTGATACAAACAAAGTTGCATAACACGTTTATTAAAAAAATACATATACAGGGTGGTTGGCAACTGGTGGTGCAAGCGGAAAGGGGGTGATTCTACGCGAAAAAAGAAATCGAAAATGTAGAATAACATTTTTTTTAAATTTTGTTTTGTTTTAATTTTTCCATCGAGACAACGATCTACAGTGAGAGTCGTTATAACGTACCGCACGCGTACCGAGCGAAAATTCAAAGTCGATTTTCTGGAAAGCAAAGCCTCAAACGAAAAATTTTTATTGTATATTTTCGACTTCTTTTTTCGCCTAGAATCACCCCCTTCCGCTTGTACCACCAGTTACCAACCACCCTGTATATACATATTTGTTTGTTCCAACGTTATATGTGTATATATATTCTACAAAAATTATATTTCGATTATTTAATTATTATTATTATTATTTAATTATTATTATTTAATGTTCAACGTGTTAAAAGTATTTGACACTGAGAGGATTAAATGAGCTATGTATTGATACGTGTTAAATACGAAACGGTTCCTTTTCGTCGGCTTGGTACAAAACGCGCCGAATCTTTAATGAAATTTCGTAGAATCGTATCTCCATGAAGGTAGCCCTTTTTTATAGAGTACATAAAAACTTTGGCGAGTCACCGTATTTATTTGCACTTTTACGGAAGTATTTTACCCACTAAAACGATTATTTTACAAGGTAGCGTACGATATAATTTAATCGTTTTCTCAGCAAACCGGAAAAACGCGTAATAGGTAGCTATGATTCAGAGAACCTTGACCAAGTTGAGAGTTGAAATGGAATAAATTAAATGGAATATTTGTTTTCATTTCCAATCGTTTAGCGACTAATTAATTAAAATGACGAGTAATGTTCGTTAATTTGCTAATTGCAATCTTTATTGAACACTCGTGATCTCGTTATCGGATAATTAAAAAGAAAGAAGTGAAAAACAAAAAAGATATAAAATGATGTTCATTGATAAACCAACGAAAGAAAGCGGTAAACGAGGTCGGCTTACAAAGTGGCCATTCATTATGAAAGCTAGACCAAAGCGTTTACGTATCAAACGCTGTACGCATGTTGTTCAATAGTAACCGCAAAATTGATTAAATACTCGGGACACGGTACATTAAAATTTATTACTAGTAAACGAAGCTGTGAAATTACTCCAATCCCCGATAATACTATTAACTGTGACTAAATATTGATATATCTATTACATACATGTATATCGATCAGACTTTCGCGCTAATATTAGCCGTAGAAGCCAAAGAACGAGCTTCGTGAATTATGAACAAATTTTTACGATATCGTAAATTCAAAGTAATTTCACTGTATCGCTATTGCTCCAATTGCTCGTCGAAGAACGTGTACAACAATCGGACGAAGATGCGTAGAACACAGGCAGAAAAACGCGATTTAGGTTTCCCACGAATACTCGTTAAATCTGAAACTTCTTCTTGAAATATACGTAAGAAGTACTTGCTCGTGCTTGAATTTCAATTGATCGCTATGCTTGAAAATTCGCCAATTCTTACGATTCAGGACGCACCCCGTGGGAACAGACAGCCGGTATCTATGCAAATGCTTGCGAAACTACCAAAAGCCTGACGAATTTCTCACGAGGTGAATCGTAAGGGAAGCCAACCTCTTATACAGCTGTTCCTTGTTAGCCATGGCAATTAGCGAGAACGAACGGAAATTCGGCGACGTGGATCGCACGCATCAGCGACTCAGGTGGCGTCGAGACCAAGGGGAAGACGCAACGTGACCACGGCTCGAATAATAAACTTTCCGATTGCACGGCAGTCCACTGTACTACCATCTGGAAGGACATACTTACGTAGCATAATTTTTGATATCGACCGAACGTTTACTATGGTGTGGCGCTCCTCTGTCCCACGCCATTCTATTGGCTTGGCAACTAAGTGATCGCGGATTTTGTCGATACCGCCTAATGACAAGATCCGCGATCTCTTAGTTGCCAATCCAACATTTACACCGAGCTATAATCAGAAAAATGGCGTAACTCTCTATAATTGAAATTTTATTTCTTTATGAGAATAAAAATGATTTTAATAATATATATTATAAAATAAATTAATACAATCATTGCAAGAAAATTATTTATTAAATATACATCGATATACAGGGTGGTTGGTAACTGGTGGTACAAGCGGAAAGGGGGTGATTCTACGCGAAAAAAGAAGTCGAAAATATAGAATAAAAATTGTTCGTTCGAGGCTTTGTTTTCGAGAAAATCGACTTTGAATTTTCGCTCGGTACGCGTGCACTTTATCGCGTCTCGTTATAACGGATCTCACTGTAGATCGTTGTCTCGATGGAAAAATTAAAAAAAAAATTTTTATTCTATATTTTCGACTTCTTTTTTCGCGTAGAATCACCCCCTTTCCGCTTGTACCACCAGTTACCAACCACCCTGTATATCGATGTATATTTAATAAATAATTTTCTTGCAATGATTGTATTAATTTATTTTATAATATATATTATTAAAATCATTTTTATTCTCATAAAGAAATAAAATTTCAATTATAGAGAGTTACGCCATTTTTCTGATTATAGCTCGGTGTAAATGTTGGATTGGCAACTAAGAGATCGCGGATCTTGTCATTAGGCGGTATCGACAAAATCCGCGATCACTTAGTTGCCAAGCCAATAGAATGGCGTGGGACAGAGGAGCGCCACACCATAGTAAACGTTCGGTCGATATCAAAAATTATGCTACGTAAGTATGTCCTTCCAGATGGTAGTACAGTGGACTGCCGTGCAATCGGAAAGTTTATTATTCGAGCCGTGGTCACGTTGCGTCTTCCCCTTGGTCTCGACGCCACCTGAGTCGCTGATGCGTGCGATCCACGTCGCCGAATTTCCGTTCGTTCTCGCTAATTGCCATGGCTAACAAGGAACAGCTGTATAAGAGGTTGGCTTCCCTTACGATTCACCTCGTGAGAAATTCGTCAGGCTTTTGGTAGTTTCGCAAGCATTTGCATAGATACCGGCTGTCTGTTCCCACGGGGTGCGTCCTGAATCGTAAGAATTGGCGAATTTTCAAGCATAGCGATCAATTGAAATTCAAGCACGAGCAAGTACTTCTTACGTATATTTCAAGAAGAAGTTTCAGATTTAACGAGTATTCGTGGGAAACCTAAATCGCGTTTTTCTGCCTGTGTTCTACGCATCTTCGTCCGATTGTTGTACACGTTCTTCGACGAGCAATTGGAGCAATAGCGATACTCCAACATCATCACGCCACTTTCACGGTCTTCGGCAGAGTTGCAAACTCAAACGTCGAGCGGAAAGCGTATCAACACGCGCAATAACGTTCGAAGGAAGCCATTATCCGATCGTAAAAGTTGAGCGCAAAGAACGAGGATGATCGAGTGGAAGTAAAGCGAAGAGTAAACGCGCAACGAGTTCATCTCGCGAGATTTCCAGGATAGACGCAAGGGAAACGATGCGATAGCAGGTATCGAGCGTTGGAGAGACGACGACGTGGTGTTATTCGCTTTTCACACAAAATACTAGCCTGCAATCCTTTTGTTACGAGCGATAAAACGCGCAGTGTAGTTTCGGCATCGTTTGATAGGGAAGGGAAACGCGGTTGCTTGCTCGCGGCGCAAATCAACTCGTTTCTATCGCAACCGACTAACGAATGGCTAACCATACATCGAACATGCTATCCAATGGGTCGATTGAATCGCTCGCAGCAAATTCATTGGTCACGATTTGCGAAAGTCGATTCGCGATGGACTCCTAACGCGATACTTACAGCGCTGTACAGGTACAAATTTAAATTCCGCCGAGTTCTTTTCATCGTTTTCGACTCAATCGTATTTTTCTAGCGTTGAAAGGTATCTCAAGTTCGAACAAAATATGATAAACGTCTTATCGATATAGTAGGTTGTCCGAAAAGTTTCTTTCGTTTTATAAGGAAATAATGGATGCACAACATTTCCGTTTTCTATTATTTTATCGAATCACGTATGTTACATTTTCTTCTATCAAAATAAAGATCACAACGTTCGACAGATTAGGTTTCATGTTTGTATAAAGATGCACCGTTGTTAAAGACGAGTAAAAGAAAGACACTTTCCGGACAATCTAATATTAGCATGATTTCTCCCTTCGATTTTACGTTAAACATTTTCTTAAAGCGTCGCGAATCCGATTGTTTGATCAAAACGAGACTGACATTGAAATATAGAAATACGAATATCGTAACAGGGTTGTGTATCCCGTGAACTGTTGGGAAAGTTGAATATCTATCTTCTACTATGCGTATACCGAAAGTATTTGGATAGTTGCCATGAAATATTTTTATTGAATATATCCCGTGTATATTATGCGAAACTTTTTGAAATTTCATTAGCAGAATGTTGAAACACGAGATTCGTAATATACAATGTCAGACTATATCGCGTCCAAAATCGATCACTGCTCAAGGCTATTGGTGACCGTACCACCCTCCACTATAACGTTTTATTACTTTATCGTTCTATTTCATCTCTTTTCTCTCGTATTTGTCTTACCTCGTGTTCGTTTCCCAGACACAGAAGGCAAGGTTGCACGCTGTCTGTCTAACACGTATCAGGTAACAATCGAAGCGCGTATAGAGGTTGCGAAGGACTGGATCAACCATGAGTTGTCATTACGATCGAACATCGCAAATACAATACGCGGTAACGAAAATACTCTCGTTTGTAACAGCAGAAAGCTAAGATCGAGTGATGCATACGAATATGGACAAATTATTCGCTACGTTGTTCTTAACAACGCGCTTCAAGCTTATCAAAATTGCTGATATCCTAAGTAATCGCCGATAGAAAATCTTCGTAAGAGTGGTTTTTATTACGAATTCTGCAAATTTGCGAACCAGCCTGCCAGCAAACAGTCGAAACATGGTCGCCGTTGTGATCGGCGACAGTGGCGTACACGCAGGCTAAGTCCCAAGAGAGGAGATTCGACGTTCGTTTTTCGTCCCGCCAAGGAAAACCGCAAGGTGCCTCGCCCCGTTCCACGCGTCTAAAGATATCAGCTTAACAAGAACGACGGGAAAAAAGAGTAATGCTCGTGACTCTGAGCGACCGTGCCAGCCAGCCACCAGGCAACCAGGACAAAGTGACGAACACAGGGCGTGAAACGGCTGCCCGTAAAACAGCGAACCAGCCTTTCTTTTAATTTGTAACCGGATGAAGCTAGATCGGTGCGCGAACATGCAAATTAATCGAATCTGTAATTGAAGATAATTAAAACTTATTATATCGACGCTGGTACCAGATACTAGGAGGATGCCCGCGTTAATTATAATAATCGAGAGAACCAAGAGCGTCTAGTCGCAGCGAAGAAAGGCCAGTTTATTAACGGCAAAGTGAATTCTACTAAATCTCCGCGCATCCAGCTCCTCGCCTATTATGCTCGTTGGTATCGCGAGTAATATCATAGACTGAATGATTTATTTGTCATTGTCAGTCACGTGAGGGCGGGCATTTACGAGAAACGCGTGAGAAAACATGGTATTCCTCAAGATTCTCGTTTATCTAGCGATATGGGATTTGCGTTTGGATATAATGCATGATCATATAAATAATATGAATAATTAGATTAATATACGCAGAGACAAACAACGATACAGTAGAACGACAATTATCTGAAACTTGTGTCGGGAGATGAACTTCATATATTTGGAAATGATAATAATCATGTACATAGCCGGTAATGGAAAATTCAATGTTGATCTCTCGACAAATGGCAAGAAATATTACGACGTCTGTGCACAAATAAACATTCTTCAACTAAATGCATAAAGTATGGTCGATCAAAGATCGAAAGATTACCGCGTTTTTTCCGAGCTGCTCGATTATCTTTAGAAAGAATTCATAAGAATCGGAGCAGCAACTCGATAAGAATCGACCCGTTTATAACTGGAGGACCGAGGATAAAAGACGAGGAACGCTCGGACGTTCAGGTAACAGAGTGTTCAAAGAGACAGAGAGCGAAGTAAATCGGTTCGACGAGCTACGGGGCATCCGATTGGAAAATCAGATCGATCAAAGGAGCCACGTGCTTTTCACGTATAGCCAGCTTCGACAGCGGATTATTCATCGTCGACGATGCAACAAGATTTACATTATCCAGAAGGGCAGATCGTGGCAAAGATATCCGACGAAATTCTCGATCACTGAACCAGCGTGTTCCCCTTTTTCGCGTAATTTATGCAAAGCTTATTCGCACCGATGTCTCGTAACTGTGCACTATTAATATCCCTGGCACGCGAGGACAGAAGCGAAACCGGGAAAAGAAAAGAAGAAATAAGAAAAGAAAGCGAGGAAAGAAGAAGAAGAAGAGGAAGAGGAAGAAAGAGAAGGAAAAAAGAAAGAGGAGAAAAGAAGAGGGCAAAGAGCACGCTCGACAGATTTGTTCGGAGTGTTTCTCTTTAACAGTACACGTTACTGTACCGTGACCAGCCGTTTTCCATCTGGCGTTACTGCATTACCCCGCGGAAGACTGCGCGCGTTTACGATTTCTTACTCCGAGAAACGGTCACATTCTTTCTTCGGCAAGTGTAACGATATCGTATGAAAAACGGAAGAACGGGACGAAGAAGCGAGAAAACAGCGCATGTACTTCTTCGGCGAGGAATTTACTAAGCGAATAAACACTTGTTGTTCCACAGTTTTATTCGTTTAAGACGTACATATATATATATATATATATATATATATATATATATATGTATTAGACGAGATCTACAATCTTGGAAGATAGTTTTAAATGTTAAATTTAGAAAAATAATGTACTCGTATGTGTCTTTGTATTTGTTGAAATCGTGCTTGAGTTAAAGAAAAATTACATAAATATACAGGGCGGTTGGTAACTGGTGGTACAAGCGGAAAGGAGGTGATTCTACGCGAAAAAAGAAGTCGAAAATATAGAATAAAAATTTTTCGTTCGAGGCTTTGCTTTCGAGAAAATCGACTTTGAATTTTCGCTCGGTACGCGTGCGGTACGTTATAACGGATCTCACTGTAGATCGTTGTCTCGATGGAAAAATGAAAAAAAAATGAAAAAAAAAATTTTTATTCCAC